TGTGGGTGTGGGTGTGGGTGTGTGTATGTCTGTGTGGTTGTGCGTGTGTGGGTGTGTGTGGGTGGGTGTGCGTATGTGTAAATGTGTAGGTTGGTTGGTAGGTAGTGAATATGTGGGTGAGGAGGTAGATAGGTAAATTAAGTAGGTAGATAGATAAGTAAGTAGTAGGACGGTAGGTAAGTAGGTAGGCAGGTAGTTAGTAGGTTAGTAGGTAGGTAGGCAGGCAGATAACTAGGTAGGTAGGTAGGTAAGTCGATAAGTAGGTGGGTAAGTAAACGATTGTGTTAGCGTTTTTTGCGTGCATGGATGGAGTTTTGGTGTCTGTAAATCACTATGTGGTGATGCTACTCAGTTACACCTCCCGCTCACTTCACACCTAGTTATTAACTTTCATCACAAGAGCATTTTAGCAACCGATGTCGGCACTGTGTACAATGAATATAATATGGACACCATTTTCCTGTTTCTTTAAACAACGTGAGAATGTCTCTTGTCAACGACCACGTGACCAGGCGTTTCCGGATTGCGGAGGCGAGGGTCCAACCTTGGCTTTATCAGTTGTCCTTTTTCGTTGGCCAGGTCCGCCTGTAATTAATTAAAAAGAATATTCAATACACCTAACCACAAGAAGAATGCACCAAACTATCAGGTGAAAATAAGAGAACATGGATGCTTCGAAGGTCTTCGTGCAGTCGAGACAGGGTAGAAAAAGCGTCAATGGTTCTTGGTTTACATGAAAAGAAGACATGTATTAAGGAACTCACTACGACCATCGGACTTGTGAAAGGATGGATATGGACATGACAGAATGGAAAACAACAATTCAAAGAATATCTTATTGTCTTGAGGAAGCTATCCAAATCCGTTGAACAAAATTGCAAAGGAAAATGAAAAAACCCACCCTCGCTTTGTAGGTATTTCCGAGATGGCCACCCAGAAAAGGAGCTGTAAACGATTTTTAAAAGATACTCATGTTTAATAAAGTGACAAGATTTCAATCCCGTGAGACTGAACTCTGGAGTACTGTCCACCCAATTAATATCACAATACTTTATCTAAATGTCATTGGGGAAAGTTGAAATTATCTAATAATTATTACAAAGGGTGGGTATGTACTACAAGAGCAAGAACCACCAGCCTGTCATTTTCGTATTGCACAACAATATGGAGAGGGGAAGGTAAAGCCCCCGTTGCACGCAACAGTAAACTGTGTCAGATTCGTCGTATGCGAGAAATGTCCATTTTATCGACATGTGTAGTCTGTTCACATATTCCTATATTACGTTCAGATTTCTGCCAATCCCGTCATAAAGTCACCATGTCTGTTGGCGACGACAGCGATTTGCTTGCACGCTATGCGCTGGTGGTTAGCAAATAACCCCCTTGCAGAGATAGATGTTGTCAATTCCTCCTCTGTCAGTTTAAAGGTACCATACTTTTTCAATTCTTTCTTATTTTTCTAATCACAATAAGTCTTTCGCTGCATCATATCATTTATCGAAAAATAACTCAAGTTCATAGTATGTCCGTGTGTGGCTATCACTGCACCAGTAGTCTTTTTTGTTTTAGTAAGAATTGTACGGCGCTCGCAACTGCATAAGGTCATATGAGCGCGCGAAAAATGGTTGGTTCTGTTCGCAACAGTATTCTGCACAGCCTGATTCTGGTCAACACTTCTATTAAAACGCTAAAATGCTAAAAAATTGATGTAAATAAATTAATAAAAAAACCTCTTTAAATAACATTTACAATTTTGATCAATTCTATTCTCAACCCTAATTCTGTTGGGATAAACAACGGAAAACAGATCTTGCAATTTTTTGCATCTGAAATATTTCCGTCGGGTCTCTCCGAAGTCTAGACATTCTGTTAAAATAATTATAATAAAAATAATAAATAATAAATTATAAATTACACTTTTATTTGTCCCAGAAGGGCACTTTGTTTTACAATGGCAAACATACTTACATACATAAATACATAATTATAAATACGTACATACATAAATACATACATGCATAAATACATACATAAATACACACTATTACACAAATACAGAACAGTTTACAAACAATGCCACTGTCGGTCGCCACTGTGCAGCGCCCTGTAATTTGAGCTAGGGTTGTCGTGTCTTGCTCAAGGACACACTCCAGTGATCCCCGTGTCACCGACACTTGCTTGACATTGCTTGAGTCAAAACTCACTACTCACTTAGCCACTGGAGCCCCCTAAATGTGTCTCATAGTAAAATCAGTGTCGCATAACGGCTTCTCATCTCCGTGAAGGAGGTATTTATGTGTTAGAGACGGGTGTCCGATGCGTATTCGAGTAAAAATGACTTCACCTCTTCTGGAGAGGCCCGAAGGATTTCGCGGTCCCAGTTTGGGTGTAATGTTGTAAAGTTTGTTGTTTACTTGCTTTTTCCAATGAGTCTCCCACAGACTGGAAGTGTAGTTTTTGACTTTATTTTTAAAGTCAGTCTGTGGGATAGCGTTTGTCGTTGATCCAAACAGAAGGGACAAGGATTCTTTTGCCAGGAGGTCCACTTGCTCGTTTCCTCGGATGCCCACATGGCTAGTAGCCATGCAAACACGATATTGTTCCCCGTTTCAGCCAAAGCGTGTATTTTATGTTGTAATCTAACTATTTTTGGGCGTAAGAGTGTGTAATGTGTAAGTGAAGAGATGGAAGACAGGGAGTCAGATAGGATAAGGAAAAATTTGTTGGGAGAATTATCAATGGCAGTGGCCTCCGCAGAGAAAATGGAGGTTTTGGGATGGAGTCTCCTCTGGTGTGTACTGTTTGAGTATAGGCAGCGGCGCCCACAGCAGAGTCCGATGTAGAGCCATCTGTGAAGATTAGCTCCGCACCGGATATTTTTCTATAAGTTTTTTGTATCCTGCTTTAAATGTTTTTGGTGTTTGTGATTGCTTTGGTGTGTGTGGTCAGCTGTAAGTCTTTTTTTTTTTTGTTGCTTTGGTGAGGGGCCACGGAGGGAGTTCGGGGAAAAGAAATTGTTGGATGTCTTGTTTGGAAAATTGTAAATTTTTAAGGTCCTCGAGGACTCTAAGGCCGAAGGATTTGATGAGGTTTTCGTTGTTTTTGGAATTTGTTTATGGTGTCTGGGTTTGTTCTGAAAATGCAGTTGTGTGCTGGGTTCTCTGGCGCTGAGTATTGTTTAATTGCGTATTGTAGTGCCAGTTGTGTGCGTCTGAGTGTGAGAGATGGAATGTTTGCTTCGGCCTGAAGGCTCTCCACTAGAAAAGTGCAGAAAGCCCCCAGACCAGGCGGAGTCCTTGGTTTTGTACTGGGTCTAGCATCTTAAGGACGTGGGGTTTTGCCAATCCATAGACCTGACAGCCCTAGTCAAGCCTGGATCGGAAAAGGGAGATGCATAGGTAGAGAAGGTGTTTTGAGTCCCCACCCCACTCCGGATGCGATAAAATTTTCAAAGCGTTTAACGCTTTCTGGCACCTCACAAGAAGATCTTTTATGAGTGGAATGAATGTGAGTTTCTTGTCAAATATGATGCCGAGGAAATGAGTCTGGTCCTGGACGGGTATTCTTTCCCCGCATAGCGTCAAACCCGGTTGCAGCATATTATGTCTGCTTGATCGGCAGAAGTGTACTGCAACCGGGGAAAACTTGAAGCCATTATTATTTGCCCAATTTTCAAGTTTGTGCAGCTGCGTTTGCAGCTGCCTTTCCATAGATCTTAGTTGAGGGTTTTTCGAACGGCAGCATATCAAGAAGTCGTCAACGTACAACGAGCTGTTCATGCTATTTTGAAGGGTCTTAACGATGGAATCTATTTTGATTTCGAATAGGAGAAAAAAAAAGGGATGCTTCCCTGGGGGACATATTCCTCCTGTTGGTGGGGGTCTGAAAGGGAGAATCCGACACGAACCTGGAATGAACGCTTCTTCAGGAAATTGCCAATAAAGGCAGGGTGGTGACCACGTATGCCGAGAGCGTGCAGGTTTTCTGAGAATGCCGCACTTTCAGGTTGTCGAAGGCTTTTTCAAGGTAACAGAAGATGGCAATCATGGGGCCTCCCTCGGCAAACGTCTCGCGTATAAAGGTCTCTAGGCGGACCAGGTGAACCAGAGTGGATCGTGTTTTCCTGAATCCGCACTGGGGACCGCTCAGCGAGCCTGTTGTCTCCAGAAACCACATGAGTCGACTGTGAATCATTTTTTCTATAAGTTTGCACAGACAGCTCGTCAATGCTATTGGTTGTAATTGAATGGGTGTGTGTGTGGTCTTCGTTTGATTTGGGTATTGGAATAACAGTGGCGAGACCCCAAGACTCCAGAAAGCAGTGCGACCACCACATGTCGTTGCGTATGTCTAGTAGGAGTGTAAGTGTTTCTGTGGGTAAGTGTCTAATGATCTGGTTGTGAATGTCATCCGGACCAGGGGTTGTATTGCCCAGGTCCGAGATGCACGATGTTAGTTCCTCTAATTCGGTGTTGTTTGAGTGGAAGTTTAGGTGTTGTTGTTCTCTGTTAGTTTTGATGTTTTTTTTAACCCATTAATGACCAAGGTCTCAAAAACTAACAGATTTCACATAAAAAATGTAACCGTGCATTCAAATGAAGAAACCATAACACATTTTGGAGTATTTCAATAAAAAAAATAATTTATTCAAATTTTTTTATTTTGTCCTTTATAAAGGACACTGGGCACGAATGGCCCCAGTGTTTCTCCCAGTCAAATGTCCTCTATAAAGGACACTGGGCATTGGGAAGGCCTATATATCAAAGTCAAAGATCTTAGTAAACCAAAATTGAACAGTTCTAGGAATTTGTATCATAGAGAAATGTATGATTTATATGCATAATCATTCAAATTTTTATATGCATAATCATTCAAATTCAAACTTGTCAAACTGTTTTAGGCAATTTTTTAACGTCCACGATATCCAAAAGATGGCAAGCATAACTGCCAAATCTAGAATGAAATTGCTCAGCGCACCTCTGATGCAGTGGCACATTGCTATGGTGAGTCTTTGGTGCTACCTTCCGGCGTTTTGCCCGCTTAGCTTGCACTACTGGCTTAATGCTGCAGAGCTCTCAGTAGGTCAAGGTAGATCTGAGCCACAGATCTCTTGAATGCCAGTTGATCCAGAGGCAGAGTGCCATGAGCCGGTGACAGAAAGGCAAACAACGGCCATCACCATTTGTTTGATCGGATTGATATCCGACAGGTACCCACATTTTGGTCACGGCGGTCAACACCACCTATGTTTGAGTTGTACCTGTTGATTAAATATGGCTCATCAACAAGGATTTTTTTCGTCTCCTTTGCTGACCACCTGGTAACACGGAACTGAGCGCTGCTTTGCAGTTGCCTTCCTGGTGAATCTTTTGATTACAAAGATTCTTGCACATCATCATTGACATTATCTTCGTCTGAACTCTGTTCATCTCCTGGTGGAGATATGTAGACATCGGCTGAAGCAATTTCAGTATCATCATCATCTTCCGATTGGCTGAGCACTTCATTCAATGTAAATGCCTTTGGTCTAGGAAAAAATATAAAGAAGCCAAAATTTTAAAGAAAACACAGGAAGTCTAAAGCAC